GTGTGTGTGTGTGTGTGTGTGTATAAGTATATATATATATATATATATATATATATCTTTATACGTGAAAAATCAGACAGGTTCATGTACTGTAACGAGACCCCGTTTCGCAGATCGTTACACCCTTCTAGTCAGATGAATGGAATCCATGCACACACACGAACAGGAACCATACAGGCTTATGCAGAGAGCCTTAGACTTTTCGTATCAAAACTGGCGAATAAAACCAAGGGTTGATACCTTCTCGCAGTCTATCTTCCTCCTCAAGAGCTCTGTCTGCTGTGGCTGTAGATTCTTGCTTTGAATATACTGTTGGCGGCGAATTGGAAGAGATTAAGCTAAAAATAGCCTGCGACTACCGAACTTTTTACCCGCAGATGCAAACGTCGAATCCTTCTTTTTGTGTCATACTTCAACTGTATATACTTTCAGTTGACTCTATGGTGGTATATATACCATAAGTTAACTATGATTGTATATATACCTTGAGATGGCTCTATAATTGTATATTTACCTTCAGTTGGTTCTATGGTGGTAGATATACCTTAAGTTAGCTATATTTATATATATACCTTGAGATGGCTCGATAATTGATATATATACCTTGAGTTGGCTCTATGGTGGTATATATACCTTGAGTTAACTCTACAATTGTATATATACCTTGAGATGGCTCTATATTTGTATATATACCTTAAGTTGGCTCTATGGTGGTATTTAACATGACAAGCGCTTATCTTGCAGTTAGAAACAAGAAAGAGTTGCCAAGATCGAGAGAATATCTATGGCTAAAAGAGGGGCTATGTTCGCCAGCATACATAGATACGAAACAGAACATACACCAACAACAGAAGATCACACATACGAGATGACGTACAGATGAGGCGACGCATATGTCCCGCACTTCGCATGTACATAGTGGTATCTACAACACACGTACCTACACATACCTTAACACCAGGTATAAAGCCACAGGTACATACACCTACCCTAGCACCTGGTATGAATTCACATATACATTCACATACACAGACTCCATCCAGTTGTGGAATATACCTGGGGAAGCCACTGGGTGTAGAAGTGACTGCCATCCGCCTTCGCTAAGTTGTGCGCCACCTGGCAGGTGAGCTCTGCGTGTGAGTAGTGGCGTTTCTCTAAGGCAAGGGAAGTGCGTGTTGAAGAAGATGGTGGTTAGTACGTGTGTGCCAATGGAGTGTGTGCTAAAGAACATGGTGGTTAGTACGTTTGTGCCAATGGAGTGTGTGTTGAAGAACATGGTGGTTAGTATGTGTGTGCCAATGGAGTGTGTGTTGAAGTAGATGGTGGTTAGTACGTGTATGCCAATGGAGTGTGTGTGTGGTCTTGTGAGGTGCTTGTATTCCAATGAAGTGTGTGTGTGATGTAATGAGTAGGATACCGTGGGGTGCTACCACGAGAGGGTATCTGGAATATCATATAGTAGCAGTGTTGTAGATGGGTGTATGAGAGTGTGAGTATACTGATCTTTACTTTGACACAGGTGATATATTAAGAGGTGGGTCACGAACGTCGTCTAGTGGTATGTGAGTTATATGTGTAGTATTTGTTACTAGTGTCGCAATACAGTTATATCAGCGACTGGTGACGGAATAAGATTAACCTAATATCAGGTGATGGAATAAGGTCTT